ACAAAAATACTTTCACCTTTAACCTTGACCTTGACCTACTTCATGATAGCAATTACCTTGATCACTGACTTTTGTAATGGAAGTTGGCATTGATGTCATTGTTTAAACAAAAAACCTGATGGTATTGTCCCATATGGAAATCTTTTTGTTTTTTTATTTTCAAAAATGTTTATTTTTATGGCTCATACCCTTGAGTGGACCCACACTCGCATGTGGAATAAGGGTAGCACTTGACATTCCAGCTCAGCAATAACAAGGTAATGGAGGGTAATAAATTGATAAATGTTATAGCCAGGTAACATCTTGGAAGTTACAAGGGCTAGTCCTATATCTAGATAATAGTTATAGGACAGTCAAAAATTAAATCAGTTAAATGGTTGAACCTCCAATAAAACATTTTTAGCCATTGGACATAGCAAGAACAAGCTGTGAACAATAAACTGGCTTACAGTATGATCACTTATTAAGGGTTTAGTGAACAGCTATATTTTATGCATCCAGCAGATGCAGAGCAACATATGTATTTATTTGAAGTATCTGTGGCCTCCTGTTGAATCAAAATTGATTAATACTGTTCATTTTGCCAAGAATAGTTGCTTGCATACTGTAAATAAATACTGTATGACATCAGTGACACTGAACAGTTAAAACTGCAATACCTAAACAGTAAATGTGTGGACTAGAAAACCAAAACAATGAGATAAAATGCACTATAAAGCATGCAGAAGTTGAGTGATAAATCTGTGGGTTCACTGATACAAGTTACACCACTTTAGTTTTATGTTACTATAAAATGACTGACAATAACAGCTTTAAAGTCTGTTAAATGCCTGATATGTAGTCTTTACTGGCTGCTAGTTATTTTTGATGGAAAGTAGCTAAAGCTGTTACTTTAGTATGATGGTGTTGCTGCTGTTTGTCTTTAGACCCAAACAACTACTGTATATACTGTATGTGGCTCCAGAAAGCTGTCTGCTTCAATGCCATGGATCAATCTGGCTGAGTTCAGCACATCTAAGTGCAGCATAAAATGCATTACATACAGTACAGTGTATGCCCACTCTTCACAGAGCTGCAAGGAGATATGAGAAAAGGTGCAGTTGAGACGTTCATCTCGTGTCCTAAAGTGTGAATGTGATGGCCTCAGGTAGAGAGGCAAACTGTATGGGGTTTATTTGAAAACACTGTCGCACATATGCTTGCTCTCTCTCTGTCTCTTCTATCAGCAGACCTCAGCTGTGTCTAGAAGGTGAGAGTTGGGAAAAACACCAGGGACTCCTGTGGTTACCTGCTGTTTCCATAGAAACACAGCTTACATGGCAGTTCTACCTCATCACAGCTGGAGGTGGTGTGTGTATACAGTATGTGTTGTTTCTTAGTTGCCTTTGTACATACACTGTGATAGCCATTGGCTTCTCATGTTAGGTAATTCACACACAGAAGTGGCAAAAAAGAAAACTGTGCGCGCTGGATTTGGAGATAGTGTGGGAGATGTGCTGTTTCCCAAAACCTTAAATAATCCTTGCATGTGTGAGAATAATTGTTTTCTGACTCAGCAAAATACCATGGCAGTCCATGGTGGCTTCTATATTCTCCAGAACTCTGAAGTCAAAAAAAAAAAAAAAGTGACACATTTTGAACATCTTTATAGAGGATGCATCGTGTGATCAGCAAAATCATTTGTACCTGTACAGGTCCTCTGTTTCCACCTGCCCCCACAAAAAGACAATTGCTAGTTCCACACTGGCAGCAGTGTCTAAAAAATGTGGAACCATTGCATTTATTTTGTCTAAAACATTGCTCATCAAGATGATTTTTGGGAGGTTTTCGCAACATAACAATGACAAGGCCAACAGATGAATGATTCACTTCCATATAGTGTTTAGCCATGGCATAATCTTTGTCATTGGTTCCGATTGCAGTTTTATGGTGAAAGATTCACAGCTCTAAGTAATACAATTTCTAATAACATTTTTTCTATACACGGAAGCGTACAAAGTCCTTTACACTATTTTCCATTAACAGACTACGGGTTCAGTGTCTTTCCAGTGTCAGTGTCAGGACACTTTGGCATGCAGACTGGAGAAACTATTAATCAAACTGCAACCCTGTGGTTAGGAGACGATTTGCTCTAATGACAAGATGTTTACAAACTTTCCAGTCTGTGTTACAGCACTGACAACACCTAAAGTTGCCTTTTGAGTGACAGCCAGTTGTGGCTTTCAGGACTCTTGAAAGAGTGGCCTGTTGAAAGAGTTCATCTTTTATGTTGGGAACACTTCTGAAAGAGAAAAGTGGAACTTTAAAAAAAAAAAAATTTCTTCATCCATGTTTTCTGATTGGAGTATATGGCAGTGTGCCATAGCTATTTTGGGGGGAATACTGATTCAGATGTTTTGGCAAAGCATAAATGACGTGGACTTGCCCATGGTGTTTCACAGGTAGCTATTCCACATTTTGAGCCCTGGGGATGTTTTGCTCAGTTTTATAAATTTCATGACTTTTTTTAAACATGTTTTATCAAAAGTTAAATGCAATTTAGAATTCTTCTTAATAGACATTGGAATCATTGCTATCACTGGGAAGAGTGAGATACTCCCTGGATTTTATTGATCATGACTGATCATAAAAATTTTAATGCACAATGTGTAAACCGGTTAATGTGCATGAAACTCAAGGACGCTTTTCTGTGTTTCATATACTAATGCACACTGTCCTTAGATGTGGGAACTGTGCAGGAAAATTTATAAGGTCTTGAATATTGCTCCTTTTTGATGCAGGTCAGCACTGAGTGGTAAATGGTCACCTACATACTCTGAGGAAGATCAACCCCCGCAAAGCAGCAGGACTGGACAACATCCTTGGGAGGGCTCTCAGGGTATGAGCCAATGAGCTGGCTGATGTTCTCACCACCATCTTCAACCTCTCCCTCAGCCAGAGCATTGTTCCCACCTGCTTTAAGACCACAACCATCGTCCCCCTTCCCAAGAAGAGCCCAGTCACCAGCCTGAATGACTACAGGCCAGTGGCACTCACCCAAATTATTATGAAGTGTTTTGAGAATGTGGTGCTGGCCCGCATTCAGAGCAGTATACCGGACACCCTGGACCCCCTGCAGTATGTTCAGCCAGCATTGTTACAAACACTGGCACCCCACAGGGATGTGTCCTCAGTCCCATCCTCTACACCCTGTTCACCCACGACTGTGTCGCCTCCCATAAAGACAACATCATCCTGAAGTTCGCGGACGACACCGCAGTGATAGTGTCAGGTTTGCCCGGTGGCATCTTCCTCTTTTCCTTCCCTCACACTAGCCAGCTCCCTTGCACTGATTGCATGATGAGACACACCTGCCTCGATTCTCTGATTCTATCCAGCTGCGCCTCGTTAGTCTCCCTCCTTATTTATACGCTGCTTACCGATCACTCCCCTGCTAGTTCTTTCTTTGTCTTCAGGCCTCCCTATGTATGTTACCGTTATTGTTTATTCTCTGTTTCCTTTCTGCGCTTGCCCGAGTTCCTGTCCTGCCCCGCCGTCTCTGGTTTCCCTCCGCATAGGACCTCTTCTCTGGACCCTGGTTACCCTCAGCTCCACCACACACCGCCT